GAAGGACCTGGCAGTCTACCGCCGTAAAGATCACAGCCTGGAAACCCTTATGAAGCGGCTCTACTCTGTCCTACAGAGTCACTATGAGTCAAAATGCTAGGAGTGGCTATTCCTTGGAAAGGAACAACACACTTGGAAAGGTGGAAGATCAGTGAAAGAGGAAGACCCCAATAAGATGGATTGACACAGTGACTGCAGCAGTAAGGTCAAGTGTATCAGAGACGATGAGGATGGGACAGGATAGGCTCAAGTTCAGGTCTGTTGTTCTTAGGGTCACTATGAGTCACACTGGACTGAACAGCACCTAATAACAGCAACAGAGGCTGAAAATCAGCCACTGAGTCCGTCTTGCCTATGGATGATCTTCCACGGATGGTGGATGATCCTCTATCTTTTCAGTGCTATAGATCCTCACAGGAGGGGATGACCCATCTTTCCACCCCAGAGAGGTTGGTGCATTTAAACTACAGACTTTTCTGTTAAGCCCACTGTATCACAAGGGATCCTTAGTCACAATATAGTAATTCCATATCTAAGCAACTGTGCTGTGCTCTCTCTGTGTGTGTGTTACTAAAAGAGAAACAAACACACACACACACACACACACACACACACACACACACACACACACAGAGATTTTCATTTGTCCTCCAAAAGGTTGTCAAAGGGTAACAGTTGCATATGTTCCTTTACAAAGGTGAAGGTAGAACAAATATCTCTGTACAGCTCAAGGAGGCCTGGTGGTGTTTTGAATTAAGTATTAAGCTACTAACTGAAAAGTTGTCAGTTCACACCCACCAACTGCTCTAGGATGACAGATTTGGCAGTCTGTTTCCATAAAGATTTGTTGTTGTTTTTTTTGTTGTTAGATGCCATCAGTTAAGTACCACTCATAGTGACCCTATGAATAACAGACCTGAATCGTATCTTATCCTGTGCTATCCTCATTATCTCTAATACACTTGAGCCCATTGCTGCAATCACTGTGTCTGTCAGTCTATCTTGTTGACGATCTTCCTCTCTTTTGCTGACTCTCCACGTCTCCAAGCCTGATACCCCTTTCCAAGGAATAGCCTTTCTTAGCAATATGTCCAGAGAGATGAAGCTCCACTATCTTTGCCTCCAACGAGCATTCTGGCTGCACTTTTCCCAAGGCATATCTGTCTGTCCATTCTTTTGGCAGTCTATAGGATGGATATTCCATACTCTACACCAATACCACAACTTAAAAGCATCAGTTCTTTTTCTGTCACCTTATTCATTGTCCAGCTCCCAAATGGACAGAAAGTGATTGAAAAGACCAGGGCTGGAATCAGGCATACCTTAGTTTCCAAACTGACATCCTTGCTTTTCAATATTCTGGAGAAGTCCCTCACAACAGACTTGCCCAATGCAGTATGTCTCCTGATCTTCTGACTGCTGGGTATTGATTATGCATCTAAGTAAGTGAAATCATTGACAGTTTCAATCCTTTCTCTGTCTATCATAATGTTACCTATTGACTCAGGAGTGACCTATTTTCTTGATGTTGAGATGTACAGTCCTGGACACTCAAGTCTGGGGAAGATCTGTTCTGTTCTCTAGGGTCACTGTGAGTTAGAATCCACTGGACAGCTTTGAACCTTTAACACTGTTCCCCTTTCTCATCACATGGTAACTCAGTGTCATTTGCAATTGTGGAAAACCATTCTTAGCATTTTTAGAATACCTTGTCCCGGAAAGATGCATATTCACAGTGGGACAAAGCTTACAGAATTCAACTCTTGAGAAGAAAATTCTTCCTGAACATAAACACCACGATTCTGAAGCTTATCATACAGTGTCCTTGACCATACAAACAAAGAAGAGAAAAAGACAAGGATATGTCAAATTAGAAGCTCAAATCAACTCTATTGCTGAACTCCCACTGCTGTTAAGTCAATTCTGACTCACGAAGACCGTCTGTTGATTAGGCTTCAGAGGCTACAAAGCTTAACATCCTTACTCCAAGGAGCAATTGGTGTATTTGAACCACCAATCATCTGGTCGTTAGCCTAGCATATGATGCACTACGCTAAGAAGGGCCAGTCCCTGGAGAAAGATATCATGCTCTGTACCGCAGAGGGCAGATGCAAAAGAGGAAGACCCATCCGTGAGATGGATTGGCACAGTAGCTTCAAAAAATGGGCTTAAGCACAGTAGAGGCTCTGAAGATGGCACAGGATCTAGTGGGATTGCTACTTTGTGTTGCTATGAGTCAGAGCCATTCAATCCCACCTAACAACAAAGTTTCAAAACCATGTAAATAGAAATGGCTGGCAAGTGTTATGTCCAGTAAAGCCCCAATTTCAAGCCATTGCATTTCTGTGTATAATGTAAGTTGCAAGAAAAACTCATTGCCCTCGAGTTGAAAGTCATACTGGGTTCCGAGGCTATAAATCACACAGAAGATTGTCTATCTTTCTCTCTAGGTGCTGTTGGTGGATTTGAACCTCCAAAGTGGTGTGGACTTTTTGGTTGGCAGCACGAACAAATCACAGAGCTTCTTGTAAGGCAAATTTTTTGTTGAGTATCATAGAGACAGAACTGACTCATAGCTCACCCTCCAGCAGATTTTCAGAGGAAATAAATTGCATGGGAGGAGACTGCTCATCTTTCTCCCCTGGAGCAGCTGGTGGATTCGAACTGTGTCCCTTCAGGTTAGCAGGGAAACTCCTTAACATCAGGCCACCAAAGCAAATAAAGCTTCAGGTGAGTGCAGTTCATCTGTGCATATATGCATATGTAGCACAGGCATACATGTATCTTCTGCTTCTCCAAACTACTCCCAGGTGTTGATAAGCCTAGAGTGGAGTGATTCCATCAAGCGTCAAGCTTACATATTAACAGTCACTTTACACAGAACAGACCCCAGCATTGGGCTGCTCTCTGGGACAAGGTTTTTCTTTCTTCCCAAACCCTCAGTCAGGAATGTTGCAGAAATCACGGACTATCCAAGCCTCTTCGGGCAGAACAACCCCAGAAGGAGTGCAGAAATTACCGTCAGTGTCCTGAGACACTGGAGGTCTATCTCCAGCCTTAAAAGCCTCACCTGTGTGTATGGGTCCTAAGAGCCTCTGTCCTTTTAGCCTCTAGCCTGAGCTCTGTGACCTAGTGCTGGCTGGGCAGTGGAGTCTGTGACCTCCACATCCGGTCACTGAAATCTGGGTTAAAACGTCCTGTCGCTCCCACAGGACCAGCCACCCTCCAGCCTGGGTACTGCTGATTTCTCGCTCCTGAGAGCTGCTAACCTCTGGTTAGCTGGTTGATGGCTGGGGCTTGTGGAGGAAGATTCAGGACTGTAATGGCAAGGATTCGGCATCCCGAGAGAGGGGGCGCTCTTCATTGAACAAAAACCCAGATGTAAACAGATCTGCTCCATGCCCGGTGGATTAGTATTCCACGGTAAAGTCGGACTCAAGCAGCTTGGGAAAAGGGGAAGCCGATTGCCAAACCCAGAAGAGTGCATCAGAGGAATGAATAACAAGTGCTGGCTTGAAATGATGGGCCCATTGTGGAGAGAGGGAAAAATTGGGATCCATGATAAACCGCAAACACAGCTGACCAGCTGGTCCTTCTCACTCACAGCGACCCTCCAGTGGGTTTCTTAGGCTATGAATGTTCTGTGGGATTCTTGTTCTCATGGGTGGTGGATTTGAACCAAAAACCTGTAGGCCAGCAGCTCAACATTAACACTGTGCCAAGAGAGGGAACAGGAAGGCGGGTGAGAGTGTTAGCTTTTGAATTCCACCATCACCACTCTCGTTTCTGGAATCAGCCCGAGGGTGTGTTGCCTGCACACGCGCGCGCCCACACACACGCAGATGCACACACATACCCGACCCGAGGGGGGTTAGGGCGGCACGCAAGCAGCCTTTTCGGGCGGCCAGCGGCTCGGTTCGCAGTGCAGCGAGAGGGGCTCAGGTGGGCCCGGGATCTGGGTGACAGCGGCCTGGCGCGGACTGGGGCTGACGCCAGCGCTCAGCCCGGTTGCCATGGAGACGCGCGCGGCGG